GGTGGCTGTAGTGCAGCGCGCGGTGCGCAGCCCTTGTGAGGGAGGACCGCATACGCCGCATTACGCAGGCCCCGCACGCACGCAGCCAGCACCAACGTACGCCAGCACACACTTTGTTCAACGGCCCCACCCACTCAGCACACACCCTAGCAAGTGGTGCCACAGGCGTGCTGTGCACACCTGACGTAGACTCTGTGCTGGGGGTAGGGGTGCGCCTTGAAGAGTGCCTCCAGCTCCCCCAGGTCCTCGCGCGTTGAGAACAGCGTCTCGCGCTCCGACACCGGGATACCACGCCGCCGCGCAGCCAGGAGGCCTGCCGGCAGCAGGGCGGGCAGGGGCTGAGATTTCCGGGCCTCCGGGGGTGGTGTAGGTGCGGGGCAGGGTGGGGAGCAGCTTGCGTTGGGCTGGCTGGCTTGCGGTCACGGGCGAGGAGCTGGGCAAGAGGAGGGCTGGGTGCCAAGGACAAAAGGCCTGCCCGCCTTGCGGGCCGTGTTGCCATCCTCTGCGTCCCCAGCTGCATGGCCACACGTCATACACACTGAGAGCAGCCCCTACCCCGCTCCTCAACCTCTGGCCCTGCACCCACCTGCCCCGCTCTCGAGCGCGTGACCGTGAAACGCCACTCGCGGCCGCGCCGTCCAGCCGTACGCCTCGCGCGCCCCCGGCGCCAGGCAAGCCCACAGCAGCGGCGTGTCTGCGCTCGGCCGCAGGGCCTCTGACGGCGACTGGTAGTCAGCCGCCCACGCAGCGCGGTCGAACGCGCAGACCCGCGCAAAGTCCTCGGCTGCCAGGGCCGCACCGGGCGCCTTGCCGGAGCGGCTGACGAGGATGGCAGCAGCGTGGCTGTCGCCTGTGCCACTGGCGCTGGCTCTGCAGCCGGTGGCGGCAGCCTGCTGAGCGGCAGTGTGCACGAGCACCGATTGACAGGTAATGGAGGTAAGGGTGGGTCGCGAGCATCGCAGCCGCAGTCGTCGATGTGTTTGGATCCTGGACCAGCCCCGCTCTTGGCGTGTTGGGTTACGACAGCACCGCCGAAAAGCTGCCGTGCAGCCTCACCACCTCTGGCCCGACTGGTCGGCTTGCCTGCGGCCCCATGTCTAGAGCCAGGTCCTCGTCCAGGGCACAGTTGCCGCCAACCTGGGGTCGTCCCATTGTGGGGGAGTGGAGGATTAAGGGGCCCGGCAGACGAAGGGGCAGGGGCGTCTGCAGAGGAGCATGAGAGGACGCAATTGGGCATGCACCCCAGAAGTACCTCGCCACGGTCTTTCTTTACAGTGCCTGAGCGCTGCCGTCTTGCGAGGCTGAGAGTACCTGTTACACTGCATGTTCAGGTGACATCACTGGGCCCACCTGTGCTGCACACGGCCCCACAACACAGGCTCGTGCCCTGAAAGTGCCGCCGCACCTTGCCGTCGTTGAGCACAGGTGCTGCCCCCGCCGCCTCCATCTGCAACATCAGCTCGCACAGCGCACGCAGCTCGCGCGAGGCGCGCGCCTCTGCGACTTCGTGGGTGCCGACGCGCCGCAGGCCAAATTTGATGCGCGGCTGCTCCGGTGTTATGAGCTCCGCCATTGGGGTGGCCGGCAGGCCCCGGCGTGGCGACAACAAGTGGCCTTGCGAGAGTGCTATCGGCCCTAGTGCTGTCCCTGGTGTTGGCGCCCACCAACAAACACGCAGCGGCGCGGTGACGGCGAATTAGCGTACAGTACTGGCACCAGCCGAGCTATGATGGTGCCAAACGCAGGCCGCTCAAAATGACATACGATCAATCCTTGACTGCGAAGGTATTGTGTTGCTGTAGGCTGTACCCGACGATCTGTCGAACAGATCACGCGCATAAGTTCAGTGCACCGCAATTTGCGACCTACGAGAGTTGAGATTTGATACGTTAGATATTGATGAAATCCGAGCTGACAACCCAAGACTCACTCGGCATTGACTGACCTCGAGAACAACATGCAGAACCACATTCACAGCGGGATGTTGGGAGCCAGGCGTTTAACTAGCCTCAGAGCACCTCACAGAGCGGGCTTGGCCTGCAGAGCAGCAAGCGGTGTGCATGGCGCCCGGGTGGTGTCGTCCCGTTGCGCAATAATGTGCCGAAGCCAGCCCGGGTCTGCCACTGCCGCGGGTGATGATAGGCAGGAGCAGCTGCAATCTTACCTGGAGGGCGAAGCTGGGCTCAAGGTGCGAGGGTGCACCGGCGACACCGCCGTCCAGGACGTCCCCACAACACCTGCGCTGCCTTGGGTGTTGTCATGGGCTTGCCGCACCCCCCCCCCTACCTAACCCCCGGGATAACTCGCACAGCTTCCACAGCCCAATCCTCAATTTGCCTTGCATACCTGTTGACCGCCATCCTCGTTGCATGTGGTGTTAGCCCTACCAGGCGGACCGTGTCCTGCGGGAGCTCAGCAAGAGGCCGGATGCGACGGTGAGGGGAGGGAGATT